TGTATGCATATTTTTAACCCCAAAATTGGGTTTTATCTGACAGACATGTTTTGTCTCAAGAATCACTGACCTGTCATATATCTATAATGTATTTATAGGCCTGTGACTCTCTTTCTCAGATCTCACTCAGTGATAACATTTAATGTTAAAGGCACTGTTCACTTGGATAAATCGCATCACTTTATAATAATGTCACACTATTAATCATTAGTCAGGTATTAGTAAGTTTGCACGTCATGATTTTATGTCACTACTCTTCCTTAGTATGCCATTTTTAAACACAGATTATCACTATGACTATGACTGGTTATTGTGAGCAACGCTGACAGCTGACAGCTGTACATGCTGTAAATGCTGTAAATGCTGTAACAGATTGGCAAACATGCCTGTGTTTATGAATGACATACTAAGGAGGAGTCATGACATATATATGATGCATTAAGTGCTTACTAATACTGACTGATGCTGAATTGTGTGACATTGTCATAAAGTGCTACTGTGTGAGTAGCACCACCGTATCAGAGCTCAGCGGCATTTTTAAATAAATAAATTCAATTCAAAGTAACATTTTTGGTGTCTTCGGTGCACAAGAAGGTAAACTTGGTCCGTCCTGATTGGACCGCTGTGACCGGCTCAGTTTGTCCACACGAATGCTGTTTGGCAGTTTCTGAACGTTTGGGTGTAAAAGCAGTGCAGCCACGTTCAGTGTAGTCCCCGAGGCGCTCTGCCTTTCACCTGTTAGACGACTTTCTACATGTTGATCTTCTGCTGCTGAGCCAAAAAGGGATTTTAGGTATTTGCCTACAAACGGCCCATATTTAAACTGCTGTGAATGACTTATTAGACTACAGTCTGTCAAACATGTATCCCAGGAGGGACGTCAAGTCATTCTGTGACTCAATATATCCTTTATTTACCTTGACAATAATGTCACAGCTGTAAGGTGCTGTTTTCATTCCCTGAGTGGTGGTGCGAGGACAAACGAACAAAACCTCCCAATAATTTATCTTGGAAACATAAACAGTGCCCTTCTGTGGTGTCTACGTTTCGTGGGAGTTTGCTGTGGAAGATTTGGGTTTGACGGGAAAGCGGCAGGATGT